CTGTGCAGTTCAGGTTGGCCTTGAGGTCACTTTGTAGCCCAGGCTGGTCTTGAATTTACAATGATCCTCCTGTCTCAGCCTCCCAAGTGCTGGGATTACAGGCGTGCACCACCACTCCCGGCTTGATTCCTTACTACAGGCTCTCCGCAGTTCTGTTTTGGTCTTGCATAAACCACTGCTAGTGATGTAGCAGTCAGATACCAGTCGCACAGGTATTACTTCCCTTCTAGAGATGAGGAAGCTGAGAGACCATGTGTTGAAGAACATACAGTAAGTGATGAGGCTGGCATTTGAACAGGTGTGTTGGACTCCAGAATATTATTATACCTGTGCCCTCATTTGAGACCCTGAGTCACAGCAGTGGAGAGATGTACTGCAAGTTAACAAGGGGTGTGGGATGATACAATTAAGATCATTGAGGGTAGAGAGCACATTTTGTTTTTGTCAGATGTTTTGTGAAATGACTATTCCATCTGTTGAGTTTTTGAAAATTGACAAGCTTTCTGATAAGTTAGTGGAGTATTTTTCTTAATGAGATTGTTCATGGTGTCTAAAAATAGAAATTTAAATACAGTGAAATAAGTGTGCATGCAGTTAAGTGTATATTTAGTCACTTCCTTCTCTGGCCCCATTTGATTATCTATTTCCAGTCAAGAAGTTTTTTTATGTTCTGATTTTATTTTATTTTATTTACTTAGTGTGATCCTGGGGACTGAACCCAGGGCTTTTGAACTGAGGCTTGGCCCTTTTAAAATTTTTTGTTTAGAAACAGTGTTTTATTAAGTTGCTGAGTTGTCCAGACTGGGCTCAAGTTTGGGATCCTCCTGCCTCAGCCTCCCAGGATTTACAGACCATGTGTCACTACACCTGGCTCATGTTGAGAAATCTTGTTTTTTGTTTTTTTTTGTTTTGTTTTGTTTTTTTGTCTTTGTGAGACAGGGTCTCGCTCTGCAGTTCAGGCTGGCCTTGAGCTCACTTTGTAGCCTAGGTCTTGAACTCGAAACAATCCTCCTGCCTCAGCCTCCCAAGTGCTGGGATTACAGGCATGTGGCACCATGCCAGGCTTCATGTTCAGAAATCTTGAAGCCATTTCAACAGCCTTTAAGAAAACAAAAGAGAAACAATTCATTATAATCTCATATTGGCATATAACGTAGGGATTACCACCCATCTGTGAATGGAAAACCTGAGACCCAAGAGACATTAAGTGACCTGAGAGGGACTTGGCACAGCCGGGGTTCAAACTGAGGTCTGTGTCGTTCCCAGACCAGGGCGCCTTCTGCTTTAGCAGCTGCCGTGGACAGTGCTGCAGAACAGTGGCTGTTCATTACTTCATAGGGCGAACCTGCTCTCTGAAGTCACTGTCAGGCTCACTTAGACAGTTGGGAACTGGAATGATTTCTGGTTCTCTTCTAACCTTAGGGTCTATGAAAGCATTGTGGTTTGAATGTCAGTAATTTAATGTGCCAGTTTATCTGACAGACTAGATTTAGGGTTTGATTAAAAAAAAAAACAACAAGGTACCTACTTTGAACCAGATCTGCAACATTGTTATGGTGCTCCCTGTAGTTGGCTCTTTTTGGTGACTCATTCCCACCTTTCCTGGGTACTGGAGTCTGCTTTGTTTCTGAGTACTGAAAGGCTTTCTCCTGGCTGTTTTCTGTTGGTCCTGGTCTAGGTATAGTGTATTGCGCTTTTAAGCCTGTTCTGGAGACAGGACAGGTAACTTAATTCTCTTTCTATTCAGAGCTGTGCATGGGATTGGGTGCTTGGAGAGCTGTAAATAAAGGGACTCCCATCTCCTGTTCATATGACCCAGCTGATCAATAGCGCAGGGAAAAGTATTCTCATCCTGGGGGAATGACTGGCCATCTAGGGCTAATGCATGATGTGGATTTGAAAGCATTTATAATT